AAAAAAAAAAAGAGAGAGAGAGAGAGAGAGAGAGAGAGAGAGAGAGAGAGAGAGAGAGAGAGGAGATGATGACACCAGGTTCTTCAACAGGAAACTTCCCATCAAACGTAGCTTGGCATGCCTTAGCTTGAACATTAATGTGTTTTTCTTCATGTGTCTGTTTTCTCAAGAGCAACAAATGCCTAGAAATAGCTGTTAACAAAGACAAAACCTTTGGAAGCTTCCTACAGACAGAATGGTTAATGCCTCCAGAATATGGAAAACTGCAAAAACTCAACACCAGAAAACCTCAGGTCTTCCAGTTACTAAGTGGGAGAGTGCACTGGATGAAGATCTCTAAAAAGAAGACACACAATGGCCAACAAATATCTTAAAAAGTGTGGAATGTTCTGAGACATCAGGAAATTAAAAGTAAAGCTGCCCTGAGACCCCGTCTCACCACAGTCATGACCACCAACCAGGAAACAATGACAGCAAATGCTGGAGAGGAAGGGACCTGTGTTTACGGTGGGCAGATGTGCAAATCAGTGAAGCTGCCATTGAAATCAGTATGGAGGGTTTCAAACAGCTAAAAATAGAACTATGAAGCCTGGCTTGGTACCACACATCTTTAATCCTAGAACCCGGAAGGCAGTGGCAGGCGGATCTTTGTGAGTCTGAGGCTAGCCTGTACTACAAGAGCTAGTTCCAAGACAGGCTCCAAAGTTACAGAGACACCCTGTCTTGAAAGACCAAAATAAATAAATAAGTAAGTAAATAAATAAATAAATCTACAATATGGCCCAGCTACCTCACTTCCTCACTTCTTGGTGGAAGGATCCAGTCCTACCACAGAGACATCTGCAGACCGTGGTTATTGCTGCACTGTTCTCAGTACCTAAGAAATGGAGCAGCCCTGATGTTCATCGTGACAGATGGACAAAGAAAACGTGGTGCATAGACACAATGGCATTATATTCCATAAAGAAAACCGAGGTCATGAAGCTAGAGATATAGATAGTCCTGGGAATTACTATTTGAAATGAAATAACCCAGGTGCAGGAAAACAAATGGCACAGATTCTCTCTGATAGGAGGATCCTAGGTTTTAATTTTTGCATGTGGAGGTAGTAGGTAGTTTATGAAGCTAGGGAGATCACTAGAAAGGAAAAGGAGCTGTTGGATGAAGGGGGCAAAGGTACAAAAGAAGGCAGTAGAATACATGTGTGTTGGCCAGGTTCTTGTCGACCTGATACAAGCTAGAGTCATCTGAGAGGAGAGAACTTGACTGAGAAAGTAAGATTGGGCTGTAGGCAAGATGGTGGGCATTTCTTTATTAATGATTGATGTGGGAGGGCCCAGCCTATTTTGGGTGTTGTCAACCACAGGCCTATAAAAAAGCAGATGGAGTAAGCCATGAGAAACAGGTCAGTAAGCAGTGTTCCTCCGTGCACCTACTTCAGCTCCTGGCTCCAGGTTCCAGCTCTGACTTCCTTTGATGATGGACTTTTGGTTAGAGTGTTTCATCACAGCAAGACACAGAAACCCCAACTAAGACATTGTGTGACATGTCAGCAATAGGAGCCACTAGAGCAGCAACCAGCAGGAGCAGAGCTGGAGGATGGGGAAAGGGATGAGGGGGAGGGTCAAAAAAAGAATACAGGTGTGAACACGCCATAACGAGATCCACCGTTCTGGATAATAATTCAAAAACCTATTATTGGCAATGGGAGTCAAGGTTTGAGAGGTTAAGGGCAATGGGTAGTGGGGGTGAGCAGGGATGAACCAGGAGACGAGTCAGAGGCTCGCAGGGCCACTGAGGCACCTGCGGTGGGAAGGAGGAGGAGGCATGTGGGAAGATGAGCTGCAGTGCACGGACTCCAGGGAG